GGATGGGGTGTCACCTGACGCCCTCACACCCTCCCGCCCTCAGGCCCCTCCATGGCCACCCACCCCAACCCCCGAGACCCGCCCTCGCTAGGACTGCACCACCGCCTCCAGCAGGGCTCCCGGGGGTGGGTGGCGGGTGGGCTCACCCCCGTCCTCGTGGGTCCAGTAGACGAAGATGTTCATGGTGCCCACCTCGGTGAGCTGGTGGTCGGGCCCGTACAGCCAGAGGACCTGCTCGCAGCCCTTCTTCTTCGCCTCCTGCTGCACAAACACTGTGGGCCCGTAGTTCCTGGGGGAGGACAGCGCGGTCGCCGCGGGCAAGGGACCCAGCCTGCTCCTCCCCGGCTCACAGCCCGCCCCAGGCTCCCCATGACCCACAACCCATGACCCACGACCCAGGACGGCTGCTTGGGGCCAGGGCTCTAGTCCGGCCTCCCTTCTTCAGGTCACGAGTGCATACCGTTTCCTTTTTGTTTTTTTCTCTTTTTTTAAAAAAAATATTTTTTTTATTGATTTTGGAGAGGAAGTCACGGGGAGAGAGAGAGAGAATCATTGCCCGGCTGCCTCCTGGAGGCCCCCGATGCGGGATCCAGCCCACAGCCCGGGCCTGTGCCCTGACCGGGAATCGAACCGTGAGCTCCTGGCTCATAGGTCGATGCTCAACCGCTGAGCCACGCCGGCCGGGCCCTGTTTCCTTTCCTGGGATCACCTTCCTCATCCAACGCCCCAGTGTCCTTCAAAACCCCGTGATGGCACCTGCTCTCGGGGCGTTTCTGAACCTCCAGGCCGGGTTGCAGGCCTCCTCTGCGCTCCCCCAATAAACCGAGCTCCTCAGCGATTTTCCATGTCACTTGGTTTTATCGCTGTCTCTCCCCCAAAGCCCGCCTCACCCATCGCCTGCTCGCAGGCCTCCCAGGGCTCCCCATCATGGGGACAAGACCACATGCCCGGGTTGTGGGCTTAGTCCCCAGTGGGGGGCAGGTGAGGGCAGGAGGCAGGCGATCAATGCTGATGTTTCTCTCTCTCCCTCTCCCTTCTTCTCTAAAAATCAGTATTTTTTAAAAGAAGAAGAAAAAAAGATCCCGGCGGCTCAGCCTGGCGGCCAGGCCCGGCCTGCTCTGCACCAGACTTCCTTCCTCCCGGACAACCCCCACGCCGCCCCGCCGCCCGCCCCCAGCACGCGGGCCCAGATGAGCAGCTGT